CTTTAATAAATAAAATTCCTCCAGCAAATAATACATTATACATAGAATATTGATAAAAGAATATATGTGAACCTTGTGCTTTAAAAAAAAATAACATGATTCTCATATATTTTTTACACTAAAGTAGTCCTCAAACTTAGAAAATAGAACATAATATTAATGTGATCTTTTAGTATTGACGTGACAATCTACGGTGGTTGGAGATATAATTAATGATGTGGCAGATGGGCTAAATTGATTTTCTTAGATCAGTTCAAGGGTCAAATTGGTTTTTTATAAAAGTTTATGGACTTATATTTTTTTTTTTTTAAATAAAATATTTCTAATTTAAAATACAAAAGCTATTAAAAAATTAAATATTAAAAATACTAAAAATTAAAAATTAAATTACTAAAATTAAAAATATATTATTATATTTACCTCGAATTTAGCTCGATTTTTATTTATATAAACATGAATTTGTCTATCATATACAAATTTTATTTTATACATTTGCCTCTATTGTATACAAATTTTATTTTATGTAATTTTATTTTGTATTTTATCATATAAATATTAATAATTTTATTTTCTGGTTCATTCGTCTTGCTTTATTCCTACGTCGTTGGCTCGCCTCCCAAAGTAGAACTCGCCAACTGAAGAAACGGCCGATCGCCCCCTCTTCTGGCTATGGCGGATGCTCAAACTGAAAACACCCTCTCCCTTTCTGAGGTATTCTTTTAGTTTTTACTCTCTGATTTGTTCATTTATTTTGTAAATCAATGGTTTTAGTAGTTTATTTTTTACTCCTTGTAGATAATGCTGATTTCGATCTCCGTTACTTTTTCTTCTGAATTTTTTGGGACTGTTGTTAGATTTTAGTTCAATTGGATTGAAATGAAACGGATCTGACTAAAGAATGCTGCTGGAATTAGAATCATTTGGTAGATAAAGCATATAAGCTTTTTTGAAGTTCTTAAGATGTGGTTTTGATTGAATTTTGATTCTCTATGCCCGGTTGTAGAGTATATTTGACGTCCGATTTTCTTGAACATCATTTTGAAAATATGATAACTTGTTCTTTTTGCCAGTTTTTAACAAATCAACTCAATGAAGTTACTCTGTAATTTTATCTTAAGGTCCTACTAATTTTTGCTTCTCAACATGTTGGTTTGTTGGGGGGCTTCATTCGTGATGTTCATTGAAATTGAACATTTTGATCCAATGTTTGTTGGGTCTTTTACTAGTTATGGTGCTTAAGCAAGCAATAATACTTGGATCGAATGGAATTTATGACCAAAGATTTCGGTGGATTAAGCATCCAATGAAGGGGTTATAGTTCTCACTGGTTCGTGGTCATCTCAATTCACATGGTAGCACAGCATCATAAATGTTCCCATTTATGGACTACATGCAAATTCATTTATTAGCATATTGTGTGAATAATAAGGTTCTTAATTGATTTAGAATAATTAATTGGGCTTTCTATCATCTCCTTCAAGCCTTTTTACTTACAAGTAAATTTAACTAGGATGCAACATTGTTTTCCATGTTCGAGTATTGATAACTTCAATGAAATTCCTATTTCTCATTTATGTAAAACCTTTTGTGTAGTTGAGCTGATACTAAGTTCTCTCATTCTGCGTGTTTGTGCATGTGTAATGAGGGTAATTATTTGACCTTATTATGCCTGAAACTTAATTTATCCTGAATGTTTGGACATTTAGCAATATGCATTGGAGAAAGAGGAGAAACCAGATGTGGCACCAAAACCAGCAGACACAAAAGAGATTGAAAATCCAGAAAATGTTGCCTCTGGCTCTGGGAATGTTGTGACTGAGAAATTGGAGGAGGCTCCTGCTGCTACAGTTGAGGGAAGCATCGAGACCCCTCCTCCTGCTGCTGGGGACAATGGTGAAGGTTCTGCAGCTGATTCGGAGGAAGGTAGCGAACCTGCTGCACAGGAAAACTCAGATGATGCTGAGGAAACCTCTGAGATAAAGGTTACCCCTCTGAACATCTTTTATTATGAACTTCGTATCTGCTGCTTCGAGTTCTTTATGTGTATTAGGAACTCATTTTTACATGTTATTTTGTTTCACTGACATAATCTGGTGCTTTTATGATATCCAGCTTGAGACTGCCCCTGCAGATTTTCGCTTCCCAACTACAAATCAAACAAGGCATTGCTTCACAAGATACATCGAGTACCATCGGTGAGTTAAAATATGCTTATCAATCATTTTGTATCTTATAATGTTATAAAGGTTTGTTTCTTCTGACAATGCTTTTTGACATGTTTTTATCTTTCCGTTCTATACAGTTGTGTAGCCGCAAAAGGAGAGGATGCTCCTGACTGTGATAAATTTGCCAAGTATTATCGTGCACTGTGTCCTGGAGAATGGGTGTGTATTTTCTCTATAATAATAATACAATCCTCTTCTTCATAGTCAATTGCATAATTGCTTTAACTGTTATTGTGTGGATTCTTTTGTCCCTCTTGTTACATGCATAAATCAGGAAATGCCTTATGAACCCCATCATTTTGAGTGGGATTGCTAAATATGTTAAATTATTAGTTACATATGATATGATGTTGGACTGTCGAAGATAAGTTGGATGAATTAGTTCTGTTACTTTTACAGTGTATTTTCTCTACCATGATCAATGAACTAAACTGTATTTGTCCCAAAAATAGACCAAATTTGCATATTGTATTAAATAGCTTCAACTACTCTAGCTACTTGGGCTCAAGTTGGTGGATACTTAGGTTTGTTTCTTCGGCATCTAGCCGAGCTCAAACCTTTCAGCTACTCGAATAACGAGTCAAGCTGAGTTCAAGTATTTAAATATCTGATTCGAATCAAGCTCGAGTTTAGTAAATTATGAGCTGAGCTCTAATATGGAAATCATTGTGTTCAAGTTTAAGTTGAGCTTTGAGCCTCGGCTCTGGCATTAAATCGGCTTGACTCTGCTCAATTACAAAGGAGGTCCTTAGGATCTCTGACTGTCCATTGTCAGTTGGTCCAGAGATTTTTGTTCGAGTCTTATCAAAAAAAGAGATTTTTGTTTGAACCTAACATGAAGAATCAAAATAAAACCTAACACAGGAGATTATGACTTTGCAAGAGGCTGTAATGATATATTTGCTCTTGCCAATGCCACTTCATTTTATTAAGAAGGTATTTTCTTGGACGGGGAAAAGAGATTATGCTCTGATTAATCCATTCGTCCAGCTCCAGCATAAACTATTTGAGTGAGTATAAGTATGTTCCAGATTATGAGGCTTGTATTAGTATATTCTGTCATCATATGTTGCAATGTTGGTTAATTGGTTTATTTACCATTTGTGGACTCTTTAAGTTAATAGTGGCCCTCTTTTTTTTTTCTTTTTTTTTTTGTTTCTCAGATAGACCGATGGAATGAGCAAAGGGAGAATGGTACTTTTCCAGGTCCTTTGTAGATGGTACCCCATGACTATCATAAAACCCTCGTGGCTTTTCTTCTGTTGTATCAACTGTTAACCACAGATTTATTTCTTGGCTGAAAACATATTTTTTTTCCTGGAAAATATCCTATTTGGAAAGGATGAGTCAATATAAATTGGGCGTGTACCTAGCTAGACTATATGGATGGATGACACAATTGTGTTTTTGATCAAAGGAATTTACTGCACATCGGTTTCCCATGCTGGAACCATGTTCTATTTCGTTTCTTGTTCTTTTTCTTTTTTAAACTGGTGCACTTATCATCAGTTCCAGCCTTTCAGGTTAGCAAGGTAAACCATGCGAATATAAAGAATTTGAGAAAAGCTTCTATGACTGTACTTCAGACCAACCACAGTCCTTTAAAACATGGAATTTTTCATTCCACAGGGTTTACTAATAATATATCTTATAGGATGGAGCCCCAACTGTGAAAGCCATCACTCTTAAAAAAGGCAATAACAGTGGTGTTTCAAAGTCGACGTAAAGCAGGTTTCGGATAAAACCCACGTGTGTTTAGAGGTCTGAAACTGTAAATGAGCGTTGAATTCTGAGAATAATCTGGGAGACAAAATAGATGGGATTGGTTGAAGGCATAACGTCTGTAACTTTGAGACGTTGCCACGGAGGAAACAACAAAACATGAGAACTGAAAGTTAAAGTTTAACTTGAAGATTAACACTGTTGCGCAATGAAGAATTAGCACTTCAACCATCAAAGCCATGACTACAATTCTTGCACTTCTTAAAAAGGATCAGGACCGGTGCTTTTCATGTGTATTTTTTGCGCTTCACCAAATCCTCACCAAAATGCAAACTATTCCGAAATCCACGAACACGACAGAAACGCTGAAATCATCTCATTCGCCTCTCTTTATGTTCAGCTAACAATAACATCTCTTAGGAGATTCGTATATCAAAAAAGATAATCTTAAGAAAATTAAGTGACCAAGTTGTTATGACACATTGATACCGTGCAGATCATACCAATTTATCAAACAAAGACCCATATTTAGCTTCAAGGGCTAAAACGTCTGTCTAATTAAAAAGGGTATAACAGCAACAGAGGTTCCACCCCAAAATGAATGAAATCTTAAGAAAACATGATAGCAAATAAGGGAGATGAAATAATTAAGCCCTTTCACCACGAATCCTCCTGGCAAGTTGAATGTCCTTGGGCATGATTGTAACACGTTTAGCATGAATGGCGCATAGGTTGGTATCTTCAAACAATCCAACCAGGTACGCCTCTGCTGCCTCTTGCAACGCCAATACAGCATGGCTCTGGAACCGCAGATCTGTCTGCAAGCCACAAAAAATGATCCAACGTAAAATTCAACCATTAATCTTAATCATAAAAACAAACTTTTTCTTCCCTTATCAACTCAATTCTAATGTCAATTACCTTAAAGTCCTGCGCAATTTCACGAACAAGCCTTTGGAATGGCAGTTTCCTGATGAGAAGTTCAGTGCTTTTCTGGTACTTACGTATTTCACTGCATCCAACGTAAATTCCTAAACAAATCCGTGCCAACAACAATAAGAAAACAAAGACGGAAAAAAGAACACCATCTGATAACTAACCGCAGAGCTACAGTTCCAGGACGATATCGGTGAGGCTTCTTCACGCCTCCCGTCGTCGGTGCCGACTTGCGAGCAGCCTGAGAAACACAAAATGATTTTTCAACTAAAAGACTTTTAATCTGTTCTGAGCCGAAAATCGAATGATGTTATTAAAGACCATACGAAGGGATCACTGAAAGATGTTGAATCACCGATAAATCCACATTTTAATTATATTACAGAAATATTAGTATAAATAGATGAAGATACCCTAGAGATGGAATATGTTGTTTGTTAAACCATTTGCTGCGGCTATTTTCTCCCTATATTCAATGTTACTTGCTGAAACGTTTCTTATCTATTTATCTTGTTCTCCTTTCTCTATTTCTTCTACTATTGTAACTAAAAATTACAGGAAGGTTCGATACATAATCCAAAAGAAGGAACAAATGAATTCGAGGTAAAATAACAAAATCGAATAATTGAAAAGGAAAGAAAACCTTAGTTGCCAGCTGCTTCCTTGGAGCCTTGCCGCCGGTAGACTTACGAGCAGTTTGCTTCGTACGGGCCATCTATATTGACCATTTCAAATCAAATAATAATAAAATTAGCAAACAGAAAGAAAAAAACAACTCTAAAATTTCATAAAACTTCAAAGAAAATAGATATAATTAAGACTATGCTTACCTCAGAAAAGAAAAAAGGTTCGAGAAAACGAAATCTAGTAAGTTTTAGAGAGAAGGGTGGATGACACGACTCGGAAACTTGAAGGCAAGAATCTTAAATGGGGGAGAATTAGAAATAGTAAAAGTATTTATAGGCAAGGGATGTAGACCAAGAAAGAAAACGTGACACATTCAAAATCCGACGACTAAAAGTTCTTTGTGCTGTGTTTCTTTGAGCCCCTGTGAACGGCCTAGATCTCAATTCAAAGATAGTCTCCTGGATCAACGCGGAGAGATACTCGCCTCCTATTGGTACACGAAGTTTAACTTCCGCTTTGTCGCGCCGACATCCTTCTACGACGCCGTTCTCAGCCGCTAACCGGGAAAAAAAACAAAAATTGGCAGTGGAAACGACGCCGTCGGGATCTGTTATATAAAACCGATTCAAGCGACACAGATGAACACGTGTTAAGATATGTTTGGGTATTTCAATCTTTTCTGCGAGTAAAGAAGATGGGAGTAATTTTATGTTAGACTTAAATTTAGAAAAGAAAAGATAGAAATAGACCAAATTTATCGTTAATACAACATGATAGTAATTTTCACCTAGGAAAAATACCAATAGACCGTCTCATGTTATAGAAACTAAGGGTTGAGGGGAAATGCATGGCATTATAGCGTTGTTAATATGATTCACCCGAATATTTTAGTTGGAGGGAAAGATAGTTCAAAGTTGATGCATACGTTATATATCAATTTGATCGATTTCACATAAATCAAAGCATATATCATCTTGAATATTATGTAGGGCAAAGACATCCTTCTCAAACACATCTTTCAAAAAACACAATTGAGAAAAGACACATTTGTCCTACATGATAGAAATGAGTACTATTTCCATAAATAATCTTTGAAGGGTGTCATTTTGATTAAAAAAATGGTATATATTGGTAAAAAAAAAGCAGAAAACATTAACTTTGCAAAAAAAAAAAACATGTTCTTGATGAATTATATGGGGCAAAACTTGGTCGGGGTTGAGATAATATTGTAGCTAGCTACAAACAAATAGTAGTACACTAATGATGTTCTCTAAAGCAACCTGACCTGATCTCTGTATTGCAGGCATTACAATGGTTAATCGCTTAGAAACTAGCATAGAAATGAGAATTGACAATAGGCCAAGCTAGTTATTGGACACCACAAGAACACGTTCTATTTTGTTCAACGTGATAGCAATTAGATGATGAAGGCAAGAAGATCAGACGATCCTTCGTCTTATTATTTAGCTGATTCAGCAGCCTCCGCAACTTTTACATCTCTGGGGCATTGAGATACATAAGGTTGAGCTGCAAGAACAGAAGCCGCAACCCAAGATCAACAATAGATGCAGATAATTTATATCACAAATTAAAGAGCTCAAACTGTAGAAACAAGATAAGGAGATCAAGGCCCTGGTGTCATGTATGAATCAAATTCTACCTTCAAAATCTATGCAGTGAATTTCTCAAGTGTATATAGATCAAACACAAAAATGTCAACTCTGAGCTGAAATGTATAATTCAAAAGATCCAATTCAAGCACAGTCAACCACAATGCTTCTATAGCTCCTACAAAGTCCAAGACTTAGAAAACAAATTTCTATGGTCATGAATCATAACACCTCCGTGATGTTTATAAAAAGCATCAGAAAACAATAACTTTCCCCTGAACCTGTTCTATGAGGAAAAGGGAGAATAATTAACTATCCTGGACAAGCAGTGGTAAGCACCTAAGATAGAATGCTCTATCCGCGAAAGATTAATCAAAACTTCAGAGAAAAAAAAGTGAAGCAAGGAATAAATATTACCCTTGAAGTCAGTCAAATCAGGAACAACATAGTTTGGCAACTTCTCCTGCATCACAACATATCCGCCTACAGCATATTTTTCGGTTATAGTCCAAACAAAACCTCAAAGATACAGTCGCAATTCAAGCAATTACATTTCAATGTTCACGTGACAGTCCAAAATTTAAGGACAAATGAGACAATAGTTAATTAAAATTGACATATTTAATTTTATTTTAATTAGTCATGATTCTAAAAAAAATAAGTCTCAACAATTAATATTCTTACAATTTATACCATCTTCTAACTTATTTTATATTAAACAGCGATGTAAATAAATATTCAAGCAATTACATTTCAAGCTCGACTCGAACTCGAAAGATAATATTAAAACTCGACTCGAACTCGAAAAGGCTCGAACTCAAAAAAAATTCAAGAGCTCGATTGAAGCTTGAGACTCGAGCTCGATTGAAGCTCGATTTTGAGCTCGATTCAAGCTCAAACTCGATTAAAGCTAGAACTCAAACTCGAATTTGATCCTACAAAAATCTTATATTACATTTAAAATATATAAATAATTTTCCCTTTAATCAACCATTACCAATACATTATAATATGAATGTATGAACTATAAAAAATCTAAAAAATAAAAAATACAATCACAAGAAATTTAGGATAATTAATATAAGTTTTGAAGTTTTTTTATAATAATTATTAGTATTATTATCACTCATGTTTATTATATTAGTATTAGTATAATTAATATAAATTTAGGATAATTAATATTAGTATTTATTTATGAGCCATATAACATCATTTTGCATAATTTGTATGTTACCTTCATGTCATAACTTAAACCCTAACACATAAACTCTAAATCCTAACACATAAACCCTAAACTCTAAACTTTAAACCTTAAATCCTATCACATAAACTCTAAATCCTAAACCCTAAACCTTATCACATAATTAGTTATGAGGTAAGTACAATATAGTATCTTGATATTAAATACTCAAACCCTTGATATTTATGATATTTGAACCCAAAACCTCAAAATATAACAACAATTTAAAAAAATTAGTTATTACAAATATTATCATTAGAAATATATTAAATATTTGTCATTAGATAAATAATTTTTTTTATCAATTTAAAATAAATATAAGAATATTTATTCAAAAATGATTTTTAACCATTTTCAATTCAATAATATTTATTCATTAATAATGTATTTTTAATATATTTTTAATAATGTAATTTTAAAAAATATAAAATTATAATATAATATTTTTTCGAGCTGCTCACGAGTTTTTCGAGTCGAATATCGAGTAGTTCGTTTCGGCTCGTTAAGAAATCGAGTCGAGTCCATTCAATCTGAGTATTTATCGAGCCAAGATCGAATCGATCTCGAATAGCTCACGATCTGTCTAGTCTCATTTACATGCCTAAGATTTCCACAAACGTCATGGAAAAGCTATAGCTAGATTCCATAGGAGCATTAGCAGTCAAAAACATATATGACATGTGGGACCCATCTCTGACATGAAAACGACTTGGAGGAGCCAAAGTCGCAGCAGCTTTTGACACTTTTGGTCTGTCTCTTTCCCACCCAAAACACCACATGCTTCATGCCCTTGCCACCACAGCTGGACACTAGTTCACCTCTTTCTATCACCTTATTAATCATTAACTGCAATCGATCATTTTTAACCATAACTTGATGTTTTGGGTTTTCAAGTTTAATTGCAATGGATATAAAAGTCTGGTTACACTCTTGCCATTCAACATTGTTAGCTCTAGGCCGGGATCTACTTTTTACCAACCACATGGGCAGATGGGGCGCCCACCATAAACGGGAAAAACAAAAGTTAAAAGACATCACACTAAAGCGCTTCTCCTTTGTCTATACCTACGAGGTTGCCATCCTTAAATGGGATACAGCTTTTGCATTTTAGCTATGCCCCCATTGCCAGCTTAAAAAAATCACAATTACTTTGAAAAACAGATGTATAAGCTTCGGGTTTTGCAGTCAAATCTGCGGCTGGCACACGAATGAAAACAAAGGGAACTGCTTGGTAGAACCATCGAATATGGACATTCAACGGCCGGCCTTTGTGGAGCTGCCATTTCAATTTTCAAACAGCTTTCGATTAGTGAAAATTTTGATTCCGAAACAAAGCAGAATTATGATGCATATAGCTACGACCATATTTTGAGATACCAACTTTCTCTTGCTACCATATTATATAAATTTTACAGCAGGCTTTCGCTAATTTCCATTGCTGAAGCATAAACTAATCAACATATATAAATTACAAAACTTTAGCTAGTTTATTCCTTCAGAGCAAAAATTTTAAGAGCTTTATGATTTTGGGTGACTTCATTGATTTTACTGTCTCGCGAAGTACCATTGAAGTGTAGGGGCTTGATCAACTGAGAGGAAATTATAAGGTTCCTCGGGTGTAAACACACATTGCTCTTCCACTTTCACCAACTGTGGTTGGTATTTATTACCCAGAATCGTACTCGTCTCAAATGGTAGAAACCAGTGATGATTCGATGAACCCGAAGATGAGCAATATCCATTGATCTGAAAGGAAGAAGAAGATGATGGTGATATCAACATTTGAGCATTTCCACTCCTTTCTTCTTTGACAATTCCATTGGAATCATCATCATTTTCACAGGAACCATGGTCTTTGATTTGCTGTGAAAATTTTGAAGAATCTTCTTTAACCGACTGGCTGCTGCTTTCTGAATTCTCTTCTTTAAGCTTAGCTTTCAGTTCCGTCAACTGCAATTTATCATCCAAAATATCATATTAAACTTCAAGAATTTCAACTGGCTGAAAAGATGGGATTTTAGGGAATGATTTTATACCTCTGAAGCTAAAGCTTGTTTCTCTTGTTCACGTTTGTCGTAATCAAGCTTGAGAACATCATATTTGGATTTAAGGACAACGTACTCTTTCTCCAACTGTTTGGTCTTCCAACGGGCACGGCGATTTTGGAACCAAATAGCAACTTGCCTTGTCTGAAGCCCTAATTCTTCAGCTAATCTCAACTTTCTCTCTGGGTCTAACTTGTTTTCCAACTCGAAATTCTTCTCCAAGGCCTTAACTTGATTGACGGATAATCGCCTTTTCTTCTCAGTAGCTTGATCAACTTCTTCTAACCTATCTTCTTCCTCTAAATCATCCAACAGTGCCTGGAAATCCCTGCTGTAAATTTGCTTCCTCTTTGAATTCATCTCCTCTGCATAATCATCAATTTTAACTCGGTAACATGTTCCGCATATATGTAAAAACTATTTGCATTTCTAGAGAGAAAAAAATGTATGAATGTAGATAAAGTAATGATTGAATTTTGCATGTACCTTTTGGTGGGACGATGAAATTCAAAGCATCCTGGGAACCTGAAGAACTGGTCTGCTTCATGATTTGATCGAAAAGCAAGAACCTAAGCTGATCTTTTTCTAAGGAACTCTGTTTTTGGTCTGCTAATCTGACAACAATTCTTTCTTTCAATGCTTCAACTATTTGGAATAAATAATGAAGGTAAAATCATTGGTCTGTCAAGATTTTATGGAGAATTGTAATGATAAAGTTTCAGAATAACAATAAAAATAAAACTCTCATCTGAATCAAAGTTAAACTGCAATATTCGGAGACAGTGAGTTGTGAGAGGAGCATGCTTCATTGGGAGTCGTTATATAAAGACTTTAAGCTGATGTGAACTACTGTAGCGATTTGAAATTTGTTTTTCTTAATTATTATTTTGTTTTTAAAAAAAAAAACGTTCGATTTTACTTGTTCTTATGGTCATTTTAGTTTTTATGGATAAATCACCCATGTAGTCACTCAGTTTTTACATACTTTTATTTTGGTCGTTTAAATAAAAAAAATTACAAATTTGTCAACACATTAGACAATGTTTTTGCTTTAGCCACTCAAATTTTATTTTAATTTTAGTATCCCCTTTAAATTTTATTTTATCTATTTTTATTTTAGTCATTTGCTTTAGATTTCATAATCAATTTAGTCACTCACTTTAAATTGAATATAACATGAGTCTTATATGGATTTTTCATCCTAGTAAATAATTTAAATATTTTTAGAGACAATAATTAAAATGATCTCATAGAAATTGACTTGATCTATTATTATTTTTCGATTGATTGAGTTGCTCGAGGACTATTGCCCTTTGGTTGGTAAAAAAATCAAACATTTGTCTAATAAATTCTAACCATATGTACCTTGGATCGGTGGTGTTTAAATACAGGGACGGACACACACATCTATGTCAGGGGTGTCAATCTAAGAAATTGTATAAAAACTTTAAAGATACGAAATTATAAAATCTTAAGACTACAAAATTCATATAAAATATAAAAAATATATCTGAAATGTAAAAGGATTTAAAATTTCTAGGGGTGCGACCACACCCTAATACCCCACGATCCTTTCATGTTGAAATAAATCCGATGGTTATTTTGAATTGTTGTTAAAGATATTCGTATTGAACTTTGGTGCTGGAATTGATTCTCTCTTTTAAAGTTATAAAATACCCAAAATGATAACTGAGATCCAAGTATATTCGAAGATGACCTTAAACCAAGCATAATCACCATGGCTCTTGTACGAAGGAATTGGATAGCTATGCCTCTTATAAAGCAAGTACTTTTATTGTTTGATAATATATCTCATTAGAATGTTAATAAAGGTTTCATGTTATAACCGTAGAAATTTAAAAAAATTGAGATATAATTAAGAATCATATATTTTTTGGTTGCAGGGAGAAAAGGAATAATTAATGCATAGAAAAGCCTCTAGGGAACGAAGTGCCCCTAGCGTCCGCTTCAAGGAGTGGGAGAGCCTCCGGAGGTGGAGAATCGAATATGACCAATACCTCTTTAAGAACACAACCCATTTTTGAAAAAGCATCCGCACAAAAGTTTTCTTCGCGATAGGTATGCCGAAATGACAGATTCCAATTACGATCTTTAATGCTTCGAATATCCTCAATAATAGTGTCCAACGGATAAGGGGATATGCCATCGGTGTTGATAAGTTGAAGAACAACCTTAGCGTCAATTTCACAAACGATATTGTCGTAACCATAATTCTAAGCAATCAACCCTGTTCGAATGACATACAATTCTACTGTTACACTTGAACAAACTCCCAGGTGCTCAGCAAAGCCAAGTATCCATTCTCCTATTTCGTTTCTCAGAATACCCCCGGCTCTTGTAATTTCCAGGCTTGACTTGCACCGTCCGTATTAAATTTCAGAGAACCACTTCGAGGTGGCGACCATGCAACCAGGACCTGTGGCTTCAAGATACTATCACACCTACAATTCGCCCTCAAGACCTCTTCAATGGGGACATTAATTTTATGCCAAAGACCTTTCTCATAAAAAACATGGAAAATGCTAAAATGGTGAGAATACACGGCGCACGATAAGATTTCCTCTAGGTGCACGTTAGCTGGCCTAACGGAATCTCAGGATTTCCGTTGCGTCTCCGACGTCTTCGTTCTCCTTTTTGGTGTTACGTCCTTCCCGTTTCTCTTTTCTGTCTCCAACCATGAGTGAAGCCCCAATGAACTGGAGGAATCTATTTGGATGCTCTGTGGGTCAAGACTTAGAATACTTCCCGCCTAGGGTTCGCGATGGTTCCACGATTGTGTAGCCTCCTCAAGAGGTTATGGAAATTGGAATTGCAGAGTGGAAACATGCACTGGTTGGCCAATTCCTTGGTGCAGCCCCTCGATTTGCTTCAATGCAGCGCATTGTTGAAAACCTATGGAAAAAAGCTCTTGCGGATAACAATGTCCAGGTAAGCTTTGCTGGCAACAACCTCTATGTTTTCACATTTTCTTCTGAATCCGATAGGAGCTGGTTACTAGAAAATGAGTCTTGGCATATCTTAAACAAACCCTTGATCCTGAGAAAATGGGAACCTAACCTAGGTAGATTGAACTTTGATTTAACTAGAATCCCAATTTGGGTTCATCTCTATAATGTTCCTCTGGAACTGTTCTCTCGTGCTGGGCTAAGTTACATTTCGAGTGCCATTGGAATTCCCCTTTCCATGGACTCGATTACTGCAGCCAAATCTCATCTTGAATACGCTAAAGTTTGCGTCGAAATAGGGGTCAAAGATCAAATACCTAAGTTTATTGATGTAGTGCTAAATGAAGGTCATTCTGTTTCGGTCATGGTTGAAATTCCCTGGATGCCTTCTCGATGTAAAACTTGTGGTATCTTTGGTCACTCAGAGAAAGGTTGTAAGGAAGTTAAAAATCAAAATCCTGTTAAAACCCAATTCTGGAGAAAGAATGAAGGTCCCCCTAATGTTACTAAGTTTGTGCCTGAGGTTGGGGGAATTGAATTACTGCAAGATAAAGACAATACTCCTTCTAATGAAACTGTTGAAACTACTAAAACTAGTGATCCTGTTAATAATACTATTGTTATTGAAGCAAATATTTCTGCTGTGGAGGCTTCTACAATCTCTGAGCTTAATGTTCCAACCAAAATTATAAATGATGATAACTCACTAACTACTAGCAAGAAAGGTAGGGGTAGGCTTTTGAAAGATAAAGCAAAGGCATCTTCAACAGGCTTATCTAATAGTTTTGATGTCTTAAGTGGATTGATGATTCAACCACGATTAACATAAGCCAAAATCGTAATCCTTGGAAAGCTTCTTTAGGTGTGGTTGCTTTAATTAAAGATATGAAAACAAAAAAGAAACATAAAAGTGATAAGTCTTTGAATTCTATTGATGGTGGTAAAGGGGTTACCACTGATAATCATTCTCAATGATTATTGCATTCTGGAATGTTAGAGGACTTAATTGTCCTCTAAAACAAGATAAAGTTCTCAAGAGAGCTATACATAATAAAGTTGAAATTCTTTGCTTGTTGAAGACTAGAGTCAAAGTTGATAAGACTGGAGATATTATTGAAAAGAAATTTAAAAACTGGAATGTCTCTACTAATTATGACTACGTTGTGAATGGTAGAATCTGGATTCTTTGGAAAACTGGTCTGCACTTTTTTTTTATTCAGTCTTCTGACCAAATTATGTCTATCCAAGGTTCCTACCTTGGTGTCCCTTATGTTATAACAACTGTGTATGGTTCTAATGATGGTGTGGTGAGAAGATTACTCTGGCAACAACTACGTGATCTAGCTGTTAGCATTGGTCATTTTCCTTGGATCCTTGGAGGCGATTTTAATGTTACTCTCCATCCTTCTGAGAGTTCAGCTTCTGATCTTCTGGGTCCTTTCATTTCCTCTGATATGCGTGACTTCCAAGAGGTTATTTCTGACCTCGATATGATGGATCACCCTTTCTTTGGTCCCTCCTTCACTTGGTGAAACAAGCAGATTAATTCTTTTCTTGCTAGGAAACTAGACAGAGTTATTGTTAATTTTAATTGGATGAGAAGTTTTAAGACTTCTCATGTTGAATTTCTCGCCCCAGATATTTTCGATCACTGCTTGGCATTGGTTTGGCTTTCTAAAGAATTTCAAGCTAATCGTCTCAAGCCCTTTAAGTTTTTCAACTTTTGAGTTCAGCACCCTAACTTCTTGAATGTTGTTCATCACTCTTGGATGATCCTAGCTCAAGGAAATCCAATGCAATGCCTTTTCTCTAAATTAAAGCGGTTGAAAGCTAACCTTAGAGAGCTCAATCAATCTCACTTCAATGACATTTCTGCTAGGGTTCTCTAAAAGAAAACTGAACTGGAAATTCAACAGCTTAAAACTTTAAAAGGTGAGGATGAAGTTGTTAAGGAAATCCATCTGCAAGCTGATCTTAAATCCCTTCAAGCTGCTGAAATTTTGTTTTAAAACAAAAAACTAAGATGCAATAGCTTAAAGATGGAGATAAATGTTCCAAACTTTTCCATTATGCTCTAGCCATAAAAAACAAAAGAGAAACCATTCGTATCTTGGTTGATGACCAAGGAAATAGGCTGGAAACATTTGACCATATGTCAGCAGAGGTGATAAGTTATTTCACCAACTTAATTGGTACTAAAGACCCCAAAGTGAAAAATCTTGACCCCTGCGTGTTGAAAAACATTCTCCAGTACTCTCTATCTGTGGAAAGTGTTGAAGATCTTATCAAGGAAGTTACTAACGATGAAATTAGAAATGCTTTTATCTGTCAGGGAAATGACAAGTCTCCCGGTCCCGATGGCTATACTCCTTATTTTTTTCAAACATGCTTGGCCTATTATTTCTGAGGATGTTATTGCTGCCATTAAACATTTCTTTCAAGAATCCTTCCTTCTTCCAGCCTTCAATGCTACCACCATAGCTTTGGTGCTTAAGATTCCCAACCCAAGCAAAGTTAAAGACTTTAGACTAATATCATGTTGCTCTGTGTTCTACAAAGCAATTTCAAAAATTCTGCTTCGAAGACTTCAGATTCTCATCCCTGATATTATTTCTCTCAACCAAACCGCTTTTATAAAAGGGAGAAGTATTCTGGATAATACACTTCTAGCTCAAGAACTAGTTCGCGGGTATAATAGGAAAAATATCTCTCCTAGATGCTCTTTAAAGATTGACATTCATAAAGCCTTTGACACTCTGAATTGGGACTTCATTTCTACCATTTTACAATCCATTGGTATGCCAAGTACTTTCATCAATTGGATTGAACTTTGCTTCTCTACTGCTAGATTCTCTATTTCCTTTAATGAGAGTCTTATTGGTTTCTTTAAGGGAGCTAAAGGCATTCGTTAAGGTGATCCCCTCTCTCCTCTGTTATTTGTTCTCTCTATGAACATTCTCTCTAAACTCCTCAATTTAGCAGCTGCCAAAGGTATTTTTGGTTTCCATCCAAAATGTAAAAAAATTGGCCTCACCTATATTTCTTTTGCCGATGACCTTTTAATTTTCTACAAAGGTACTGCTGATTCTGTTATTGGGGTTTTTAGTGTCCTTGATATGTTTTATGAGATGCCTAGTCTTAAGATTAATACTTTGAAATGTGACCTTTATGCTGATGGTATTCATTGTTCAATTATGGAGGAAATCAATCTGCTCACTGTTTTTAAAATTGGCAGACTTTGTAATATCCCAAACTTTGGGTTAGTGACTAAATTATAAAGTTTCATAATTTGGTGACTAAAGTAGAAGAATTGAATAGTTCAATGATTTATATGGAAATATTTCCTAAAATTTGCTAGTAATTATTAAAGGAATTAAAGGGCAAAATGATCATTTGACAAGGAAGATTTTTATTTCTCTTTATAAGATAAGGGAACCACGTGGGAAGGAAAGATTTCTCCAGAACTTCTTCTTCCTTCTTCTTCCTCTCCTCCTGTATCTCCAAGCTCAAAGGTGAGTTTCTTTGTTTGTGGATTAATTGTTGATTTTAAGGTTGGGTTATGATCATTAGATGATAATTAAGCTTAAAGAACGCTTAAATCATCTTAAAAGCAAAGGATGGTGGAGTTAGGAGAGATTAAAGATTAAAAGTTTTCAAATGAAATCTTGGAATAGAGTTCATTACTCAAATTGGAAGATAAATTTGACTTGTCATCAACTTAATTAATAGATATGAAGTGATAGAATTGAATTAAAAACATATTGAAAAATTGATATGATTATTGATTTCTATAGGGAGAAAGAAATTTTGAGATTTAAGGGGGTGATAAAGGAGTAGAAATGAGTTTAAGTATGTATATGAGAGTTAAGAATATGGTAGAGGATGTAATATGAAGTGTTTAAGTAGAATTGGAGTGATTTTCTGGCTTAAAAATGAATTTTGGGTTATGTGTATCGATGCACATTCAATGTGTACCGATGCATCAAGGGTATTTCCAGAAAATTGTTTAGTGTGTATCGATGCACAGGAAGTGCATCGATGCACCCATTAGAAATGGAAACATCAAATGCAATTAGTGCATCGATGCACCCCCTTAAAATGAAAACATCAAAGGTGATTAGTGTATCGATGCATGGGTAGTGCATCGATGCACATGTTAAAGAATGCATCGATGCACTATAGAATGTATCGATGCACTTCAAGGGGAAATTGAAATAGACATTTCTTTTGGTCTAAGAAATGATAGATTAGAATACATCAATTAAATACTGATATGTATCAATGTATAAATATGTAGATATCGAGAACGAACAAGTTTCGGACGTTCCGGAACGATTATCAAGTTAAGATTCGATCGAAAGAGAGGAAATAATAAAAGTGGATTGGAACATAGTGAGGCCAAGGTGAGTGCATATAATTATAGTATACGATTAGATGGAAATTAGACTTGCGATGAGTCTATTTCCATGTTCTGATTGTATGCATGCATGAAAATAAATATAGTTGGTTGCCGTTAGTATGTGAATATGTATTGTTATGTTCTTTTCTATGAGATATGATTTATGTGATGATGCGATTCTGTGATATAATTTATATGATCATAAGCTATGTGGTATAAATATAAATGATTATATGAATATGTAATATAAGTTATGTGATGAGGATATATGTTTTTATATGTCTATGAGAAGTATGTGCTATAATGTATATATGAGCTATGTGATCCTATGAGAATATGAAAAGAGATATGTGAACATATGAATTACATGAAAAGAAGCTATATGTCTACATGTACATGTGAAAGAAGTTATGAGCTTATATGAACATGTAATATGAAAGTGTATATGTGAAATGATATAAGTGAAAATGCCCATGTTATGTGTATTGAGAGCTAGAGGTATAGTTGGCATGCCAAGAGTCGAGGGTCTATGCGGTCCTTCGGGACATAGTGGTCCTTCGGGACATATGTGTTATATATAGTCCTTTGGGACATCTATGTGGTCCTTCGGGACAAATTCTACGTGCCCTAGTGGGAATTATACGAGCTGTGGTGACAGTATAGTGCACAACCTCAATAGACTCACATATCTACAGTTCTCACATGTATACATGGGCTAATAAGAGATAATATTGAATACAATGTATGTTTTGGGATATGAATTATATGACATGATATATGTGTGTTAGTGATTATTGTATATGTTATAAGATATATGATATGAACATAATAAATCATATGAACAAGAGAATAGAAATATGAATGATAATAAAATGATAATGATAGGAATGAAGATAATTATATGCATGTATGTATTTGATGGATGAACGAATATATATTTGGGGTATGCTATGATAGTAGTAATTGTTCTTGTATGATTACAAGTTATACTTTGCATTATATGTTTATTTGCCTCACGAAGTCATAGACTTAGCGTGTAAGTGATTTACACGTAGGTTTCGAGAAGAGTAAAGAGCAATGTGGAGCAAGATATGTCAGTTCTCCTTACCAAATGTCAGATCTGAATATTGGTGAATAATATTTTATTTTAATATATGAAGTTCTAGTTGGCATGTAATCAAAATGATATATTGTATAAGCTCTGAATAGTTCTGTAAATGTTCTGAATAAGTTATATGGATAAAAATTTTAAATCACTCACAATTTTATACAAGTAAATGTTTTGAAAAGTCAATGTGACACCTCATACTCGGATCCGGGTCGAATATGGGTTGGGGGTGTTACAGACTTCCTGTTAGATATCTCGGAATTCCTCTTGTCACCAGAAAAATTACTAAAAGTGATTGTGCTGCGCTCTTTGATAACATTAGAGCAAGGTTAAATCATTGGTCTACTAAATCTCTAAGCGAATTAATCAAAGTTGTCTTGTTCAATATCACTAATTATTGGTGTAGGCAAATCTCTCTTCCTCATTCTGTCCTTAAAAAAATTGAGCAACTTTGCTCACATTTTTTTCTGGAAAGGTGAGGATAAAGCTGCGAAAGGAGCTAGAGTGAGTTAGAAAAACATCTGTCTTCTGAAATCCGATGGAGGGCTTGGTCTTAAAGATTTGAAGACATGGAATAAAGCTTGTATGATCCTCCATATCAAAAATATTTTAGCAGGCGAAGGTTTTCTATGGGTTGCATGGGTTAAACACTATGTTCTTAAAGGCAACAATTTTTGGAATTTTAATGTTCATCCCTCTTGTAGCTGGAACTTAAGGCGTATTTTTAAACTTAGAACCGAGGCTTCCTCAGTGTTGTCTGCTGGAACAATGAAAGTTTTTTCAATTTGGGATGCAATTCGTGATAACAGATCCCAAGTCCACTGGCAAAAAATTATCTGGTTTCCTTTGCACATTCCTAAACACAACTTGATTTCTTGGATGGCATTACTTGATAGACTTCCAACAAAAGTGAGACTTCACCAAATGGGGATTATCAATGAATGCCATTGCTTATTTTGCAACGATCCTTGGGAAACAAGGGAACACTTGTTCCTCCATTGTCATATGGCTCAACAATTATGGAATTCTGTTTTCACTCACACTAGTCTGCAACATTCCATAACCTCTTGGGATGTTTTTTTCGCGTGGGCAAGCTCTACTTGAAAAGGTAAATCTTTGCTAACTTTGATTTTGAAGCTTGCTCTTAATTCTCTAATCTATGTCCTATGGGAAGAAAGAAACATGATGATGTGATCCAATTCAGCATCATGATTATCATGGCTATTCCACCCTTACAAGGGAAGAAACTTTCTAACTTTACATACATATATGTTTATTTCATAATTATTTTCATACATATAATATCTATGGTTATTATAATAACTTAATCATTAATATATGAGATATAAGTTATTATATACTATAGTCCACATTATTATATAATACATTGTATAAGTTCATTTACTTAGTTTATTTCTTTATATTATGCGTGTAGGCACATTCGGCCAAGACTTGGGAGCTGCATTAGAGCTAAATGGAGCATGAAACAGCAAGGAAACTCACATAGGGATGCTTAAGAGATCATAAGGATTCATCGATGAAAAGTTGTTTTGAGGCTGCGAGCTCATAGCTGGATTGAGCTGAAGATTTGAGCTACAAGATGAACTCATTTCAGCTGGGGAGTTGCACCATCATCATCACCACTTAGGACACTTCAAATATGTCCTACATCAAATTTGTGAAATCGTACCTTTTCGCGAATAGTTGCCATCTCAAGAGGTACCTTTTCACAAGGAGCTGCCCAAACGTTCATCATGTTACAAGTCATCTAAGGTCAGCTCACCACCAGCTCATTCACACCCGAAGTAGCTCAAACATGAAGGGTTACCTTTCTCAAACATTGTGACCTTTCATGAATGATGCTGCCCATGAAGATGCCTTTTCAACAAGGAACACATCGGTGAAGAGATCACGCCTATTGGATGCTTAATCATCAAGAAACATGAGCTAGAGGCTCCATGCCTATTCGGCCACATCACATGCCATACACATGAGAGCCTTTTGGCGCCAAGCATGAAGAGACACACCACCATTCGGCCAAAGGGAGAAAATGGCGCCAAGATGAACCAACATACATATTCGGCCAAGGGAGATGTCTTCCCATCCTTAGCCGAATCATTAAGGCCTTTCATGAAGAGTTAGCCGAACCATCATAAGCCCAAAGGACTTATTCATTCATCTCAAGCATTATGTATTTTCCTAGAGACATGTATCTAGCCGAAACAACTTGTAATCATTCGGCCAAGCCCTCTCATTTCCTATAAATAGAGTGGCTTGCCATCATTTGTACTCATCTCATCTCTTATATAAAACATACTCTTGTGAGTTATTTCTCTTCAAAGTTCTTTGTGAACTTTATCGATTAAACAAGTGTAGTTCCTATACTTGTGGCGTCATTCCTTCCA